GGTGCGGGAGCTGCGCGGGGCCAAGTTGATCGTGCAGTTCTGTGTCGTTGTCTCAGTGCGGGGTGTTGCTGGGTTAAGCGGCCCGCTTCTCTCACTCCCTCTGCCTTCCCTCATTTTTGGTGCGTGAATTAATCTCTCAGATGGACTGATTCGCTGGGGGAAAAGTAACTTCCCCTGTGGGTAGGCCCTTCTGTCAGATGTGGCTGCAGATCCAGTTGATTTCTGCCAGATATGATCCATGCAGGTGTGGAGATGCAGAAGGGAGGAGAACAGGATTGCCCTTCCAACAGCGACTTGCTCTTAGGTTATGCCAGCGTTAATGCTGTGCTTTCCCTTGAATTTCAGACACATGAACCCAGTTAGCAGAGTTCCTGGACCCTGTTCCACGGGAGGGTGACCCACTGGGAAGCGGAATGTTAGTAACATACTGTTTGTTTTGCTGTGTAGCGGAGTGATGCGTGTGTGCTGGCTCGTGGGGAAGGAGCAATGCAGGCAGCGAGTGAAGCTGCCACACTTGGAAGCTGTGGTCATTGGGCGTGGCCCAGAGACTGGGATAACGGATAGGAAGTGTTCACGGCAGCAAGGTAAGCTCTAGCTCAAAGGCCACTTCCTACAGATAGTAGCAACCAGGCTTGTGAAAAGTGTGAGGTACAAGTACAGCCTTTATGTTTATCAATAAATATAATTCTTCTGTTTGGCTGAATTACAGTGAAGATAAGGAAACAATGTTTGGGCCTAATTCATAAGCGTGCTCTGAGGAAGGTCTAGATGAGAAATCACAGTTTGTCCTTTAAGTCTAAGCAGGGTTTCCATAGGCTTGTTCTGCAGTCACTAGTTTATGGTTTCCTTTCTCTTTGCATGATCTGTAGTGCTGCTTGATTCTTGAAGTCATCAGGCTCTATAAGCGCTTACTGAGATCTCTTGTGTCCTAACATTTCAGAAGAGACACCTAGTAACAGGAAGTTGACCTTCATAAAGTTAGGCCTTGAACCTTAATTTGAGTCCCCAGGCCTACAGTTACATTCCATTGCCTGCACCTTTTCTTTGTGTGTGGCACTTCATTTCCCCAGTCTTCCACCAACAGTTTCTTAGCATGACTTGTTATTTTAGAGATCTGCTGGGATAATATATGAAAATATCTGTGATCTATAAAATACTTGTCTTCATGTCTTCCCTTCCTTATCTTTCTTGCCTCTGGACACAGTCCTACTCGATGCCTTTTGTTGACAGAGAAGGCTGGTGAGAACAGTAAGAATGTGTGGAAGACTTCCACACATTTCACCGTTATTCTGGAGTAGTTTTGCTGACCATGGTGTGAAATACTGCCATGTGACTCAGTGTATGGGTTGGTTCTGTTTTACCTGTGTTCCTGGAAACAGAGAGTGAGGCAGAAGCATTCTTTGCATACTTTCACAGACATCAGCTTCAGGAGGTAGCCAATCATAAAACACAGGATTCTGCAAGAGGTAGTTCAGCAGAGTTATGGCCTTTTTATTTACACTGTGTTGTGATACCTCTTTTCTTTTTTTCCAGTGCAGTTAAAAGCAGACTGTAACAAGGGGTACGTCACAGTTAAGCAGGTATGTTTTTAAATGGGTATACAGTATTTGTGATACTTAGTGGGGTAATTGTTGTGCTTAAACTCCATAAATGCTGCAAGTGATGATTATGATTGGAGGATCTGAAGGGCCTGAAGCTGTTTTATGGCCAAGGAAGTGTTCCTTGGAAGGGTTTTGTCCTTTTTTGTGTGTGTACCTTAATGGAAAGACTCCACTGCTAGCCTTAGACAGCAAGACTCACAGCATCTGGGAACACTGCTGTGAATCCTTAACTTGTTCTTCCAGGTCCTGTGTTTTGGAGATTTTGGAGACTTTCCCTAAACTTGCTGACCTGCTTCCTGAGCCTTAAGCTTCTGTAGGTGAGGCAGGCCTCCATTTGAGGTCTTGTATTAAGTGATTCTTGTATTAATGGGACTAGGCAGTTTTTGTTTTGATGGCTGATAGACCCAAAGATGTGGTCGCCCCTGGGAAGGGGTGGGATGTGTCACAGCACTGAAGGCATTCTCGTGTCACTCACGGGGTGGATTTTAGCCTCCTCTCTCATACTTATGAGGACCAGTATCCCTGAGGTAAGATGAAAGGAAAATTCACTGCTTTTGGGTGCTGTGGCACATGGTGTGCATGCAGCATCAGCATGTGTGGACAGCACATTTATGTGTTCTCCCTGCTGAGGAGAAACATCTTCCATCCAAACCCCTCCAGAGTGCAGTAATTACAGGGACCCCACCACTGTCTGGTGAATCCAGCAAGGGTCTCCCTAGACAGCTCTTCACAGAGGTAAGCCTTAGCCACAGTTTGAATGCCATGTTACTGGAATCTTAGGGCCAGGAATACTTTCTGGCAGTTGGTGCTAGCATGTTTTCACTGCCTGCTTTAGAGTTGCTTCCCAGCTGATTTGTGTGCAGCACGGGGTTCCAGTGGTCAGTTGTCTGATAGCATGTTTGCCTGGGGAATGTGAAGTACACTTGAGTGAAACTGCAGAACTGTGAACTGAAGAGAACCCAGCAGGAAAAGCAGGAATCAGGCAGGTGCCTTATTGCAGTGAATACAAGTGGTGAGAGGCACAGAACCATCTTGTGAAGTAGGCAGGTAAGACACTGACAAAGCTAACGAAATGTTCTGTGACAGGTTTTATCCATCACAGGGAAGACCTGGTTTCCTAAAGCTTGTTTCGTGCATAAACATTAAGCAAAATAATTTTGCTGAAGTTAGAGACCCCTAATTTTGCTAGGGTCACCCTCATGATCAGGCAAAATCCATTCTGTCAAGCAGTCACTGTATGTTGCTCACACCACTTTCTGTTACCAGTTATGCCTGAGACAGAGGAAAATGTATTGCATTTCAACTGTCAGCTAAACTTCAGGTAGCTTCTCAGTCTTTAAAACACTGTTTTGAGGGAAAAATTGCCTAAGAGTTGTGTAGAGCTGTAAATTGAGGTAAAAATTTGACCTTGCTGTCCTCATTTTCTGCTAGAATTGAACAACAGATTTTGTTAATAACCTGAATAACAGGTTTTGTGAAAGTATAAGATGGAAAATGAAAATAAAAGCATTTTAGGGCTACTTTGCACAAGCTGAGTGGACAGAGAGCTTTAGTCTGTTTTGAAGGAATAGACATGTGGTGTCACCATATTTGAACACAGGCTTCTGTGGATCGGAGAGAGGTTATCCCATTTGCCTTGGGAAAGAAGAACAGAGGGAGGCAGGAGCTGGTCCCTGTGTAGTGGGACCAGCTCTAGGGCCAAAAGAGTATTTTTTTCCCGCTTTTTTTGTCCGGTTTTGTTTTTGCTTGCACTGGAGGAAGTGTGTTGCAAGTATTATCAGTGGGCTGAACTCCTTCACTGAAATGAGCCAGAGAAGTGTGCTCGTGTGTGTAGTTGAAGGCAGATGTGTTGATGGGACAGCATTTCCTAGAAACAGAAAACAAAATGTAGTAAAAGGGGAAACTTTATGTGAATGATTGGACTGAAATACTTTGTTAAAACTAGTGTTATTCTGTAATTGTTACTGTTAATGTAATTGTTACTAAGGCTGCTATTGCTCTAACAGTTGTGTAGCAGGTGGTTAATTCTTTAGAGCAAAGTGCAGCGTGGGTATTGCTGTAACTCTGTAGCCAGCTGCTGCAGAACTGGCAGGTCCGTGTGACATCGCAATTCTAGTTAAAATATTATTTGCTATTTTTGTTCCTTTTTCTCTCTACCAAAGATAGGAGTCAACCCAACTAGTGTTGATCTCGTGGATATTGGCAAGGATGAAGAGGTGAAAATGAAGCCAGGGCAAGTTCTGCATGTTGTGAACAAACTTTACCCCTACACAGTGCATTTTGCTGACGAGTCAGGGAAAACTGTTACAGAAGGGGAAGAGAAAATACAGACCTACAAGGTGCCACGTGAATACTCCTCTGAGGATGATGATGTAGAGTTTGTGCCCAGAAAAACAATGAAGATGGAGGTGGTGGATACCCAGGGCAGTTCTGCAAATCCCAAGCTAAGCAATATCAGTGTGTCTCCACATGAAGGAACTTCAAGCAAAAAGGCAAGTGTGTTGTTACTGGTATGACACGGCCCGGATTTAATAACCCAGGAAGGTTAGAACTGGACCCCCTTGCTTCCTAAGCTCCTGCTGGAATAGAAGAGTGTCACAACTCAGACTGGGCAGCGCAGGGAGATTAGCACTGAACCCCCTTGCTTTCTAGACTTCCTTCAGAGAGGAGCCCAGGTGTGGCTGGGCTCACAATCCTTCTCTCAGACCTGGTCTTTTCCCAGAGAGTAAATGTATCATGGTCTGAATAAAAGCTTGACCATCCAATGCCCCTTGATCAGATTAAGGTGCAGCGACACACAAGGCCTGTTTATAACAAATAACACATTTATTACAGTAGTAGGAGTTAATACTGAACAACCTAAACTAAACCACCCGCATATACATATTAAGTAAGGAAAAGGGGATGAGGAGGAAGAGGTGAGAGGAAGGGGGGGTAGAGAGAAAGAGAGGGATAAAGAGAGAGAGATAAAGAGGATAGAAGAATCACAGGGCCTGGATCCAGCGACGGTGGTCCAGCCAACGGGGGAGGGTCTGTGTCCATGGTCAGTGTAGATGAAACTCCCAAATCCCATCATTGCAGCCCCCCTATTTTATAGGCCTAGAATCTTGATTTCACAACGAGTATTTTGAGCCATACATGTGTGAGCAGCTTTAGTGGACCTCTGCCCCCTCCACCCCTCGATCATTGTTATCTCAATGGCTGTCGTTATCTTATCTATGCAGACCATTACTGCAGTTTCCATCCTTCCAGGCAGGCCTTTTGGGATGCATATGAGCAGGGGCTACAATGGGGGTTTCAATACCATTTCCAAAAGTAGGTCCGGAGGGCTGGTCCCTCACATTGTGCTTGTCCTGTTTCTCCCGGGATTGCATCCTCCATCAGCGCTTTGGTCTCTTATTTTTGTGGGTTTTGCTGGTGGAGAAGCATCTCAGGTGAAAACAGATCCCCAGAGTATTCAGAGCCATGTGAACTGCCATGTGCTGAGGCAAAGGCCTTGTTTCTGCCATCACTCAGGTCCTGAGGAACTTACCTGGGACTCATTCTGACCTCAGCTGAGGGGTGTGTGTGTGTGAAGGAGCTTGCTTGTATCAAGTGTGGATTTAATTTCTGGTTCCTGCTGCTTCAAGAAGGACCTGTCCACATAAGCTCAGTACAGCTGGAGTCACACAAAGATGTTCTGTTGGCTTTTGAGATGAAATCTACTGTGTTAGAAATAGAGCAGTGGCTTTCTCAAAGCTTGCATACAGAGAATCTAACAACATGACCCTCTGTTTTTTTAATTGCTTCTCCCCCACCCCATGCCTCTGCTGCTTTGCTTATTCCTTATGGTAGAACCATATTTACATAAAGGAATGTTACCAGCCAAAATCATTTGAGAGGGAGTTCCCATCCCTGCTGACATGGACAAAATTAGACTTCTTAGTGCATCTGGAACTATAGCAGTGCAGTTACTGGAGGAGAAGGCAAAGAAAGGAAACCCCTCAGGACAAAATTTCAGTCCTAGGTTGTTCTGTACACTCCTTGTGCAATATCAAAAAATAAGTATGTCTAAGAGTAGGGCCACACACCACAATCCCTTGTTTGTTCTGTGCAGAGCAGCACATGACAGGGCAATTAATGGAGATCCTTGTACTTCCTTTGACCCTTGTGATCTGTGAAGCAGAAGGTCATTCAGTAAAATCATCTGTCATCAATCGTAATCAAGGACTCTGCCATAACATGCAAACTGTTAAATTCAAACAGATTTGGAGCTCCCTATTGCTGAGTTTCCAACATTTGAAAGACTTTGAATCTTAATACTATCTTGTTAAAAGTTTTCAGAAGTAGCTTTGTGGGCTCAATTGGAGCAACTGTGTTTGCATACATAGAAAAGAAATAATTCAGCTGTCATTGAGCTGTTATTTTACTGTTGTATGCTAAATAAAGTATTTAATTGATTGCTTCAAACCATATGATTGGATTCTTAATTATCTTGTACGTTCTTTTTTCTTATGTGCCTTAGGAACATTTAGGACACTGGAGTCAGGGTCTAAAGACCTCCATGCAAGATCCAAAAATGCAGGTGAGAGCTGCATATTTGTACTTTACAGTAGTTCTTGTCTAACAAAGTTAAATTAACCTCCTTTCTTCCCTCTGCAGTTTCCTTTAATTATCTGATTGTAGTAGCATTAATTTGGAAGTCTGTACTATATTGCTTTTGCAAAATGTCACTATATTAATTATCTTCAAAGTCTCTATACTGTCAGATTTGGCCAACAGATTTCAAAAAGGTTTTTGGGAGAGCAGGTGAGCTGCTTTGTTTCCTCAGGGAAACCAACTAAAATGGGGGTGTGGTTTGAAGCAGTGGAAGTTCCTGTTTCACGACAGTCAGCACTGCCTGGTTTCCAAGCTTAGTGCAGTTTCCTGGTTTTGAGCAGGCTCTTTAACTGCAACACCTCAGTGCCAGCTGACAGGATGTGATCTCTGGCTCCTCCCCTCTCCGGTTTCTTTGTGCCAACAGGAATTTATCGCGTGGTTTCTTTTAACCGTCTGTGAATGCTTCAGATGCACTACTCTTTCTCTGCTTCTCTGTGACTGCCTAATGGTTTTCCTTGATTTTATTGTCTGCTGCCTGCATTTGGGAGGGTCAGACTCAAGACACAGAAAACTGTCACACTCTTTTTGTGGCTGCAACGTCCGTATTGTATTCTGAGAGTGTCCTGAGAGAATCTTCCCTATCCATATAAAGAGCTTACTTGCATTTTATTTTCAAGTCATGGCAAATTTGTAGACAGCTTCTCAAAAACAGTCTTCTTAGCTTAACTCCAAAATAGGGAGAATGCTCTTCATCAATATTCCACCGGCTGACAGAGTCAGGCATGAAGCTGGAGTCTTACCTAGCTTTGGGTGGCTGACTGCTGCATGGCCATCTTGAAATTAGAGAGCTGTTTTTCCCTTTGTACTTCTCAGTTCAAGTATGTGTTCAGGAGGGTGGATATCAGAGTTACCTGTGATACTGGTAACTCTGGAAATTGCAGAATAATTTCAGTTGGAAAAGATCTTTGGCAGTCACCCAATCTGACCACTTGCACTCACCACTTGGTGTGATTGCTGCAGCCCTTGTCCATTTGAGTTGAGATGATCTCTAAGGGCGAAGATCCCACAGCCTCATTGGACACCTTCAGATGATAATCATCCTCAGGCTGAAAATAATTTGCTTGATAACTGATCAGAAGGTCCCTATTTCTTGATTTTTTTTTAATTTTTATTTTTAATTTTTTTAATTCAAGCCTAAAGTGTTGAACTGCATAGAATTCTAAGAGAACTGGGTGCCCATTCTTCTGGAAATGCCAGCAGTTCAAATGAGTTCCTATGGAAAATTATAACCCATTTAAATGCTTGCTTACTTTTTAAATGTGAAGATTAATCTTCATTCCTTATGTGGAATTTCATATAGCACTTTCCAAGACAGTGCCTTCTTGACACAAAAGATAAGCTGGTTTTAGAAATGTTATTTGAATGTTAGAATACAAATAACTGGGACTTACTGTTTGCTCTATTACTGTGGTTCTGAATTAAAAACAGACACCATAGAACTCCTGTTTTTCTTTTCTATTAAATATTAAGTAAATGGCAATATTTCTTTCTTCTGAAAACACCTGATCCCATTCGCACTACATATGAAGACACTAATGTGAATATATAAAAAAATGACAGCAGTCTTGCTACAGAAAGAATCAGTCCTATGATTTGTGTGCTGATAAAACTAATCTTCCATCCTGTAGAGCAAGACCAATCGGCTCTGTTTATAAACACGTGGGAATAATTAGCAAAGATGACAAAAGCATTATTCATCTCTCACTAAAAGCTGCTCTGCTAAGAGATCAGAGAGACAGCACATAGTTCCTGCTTCAGAACCTGGCAGATTTTTATGGCCAGGGGCAGCTTTTTCTCCCTGTTCTTTGTGTATGTTGCTGTCGTTTCTTTTGATCAGCTGCATTGAATTGTTGCAGAAGGCAAAACAAAATGAAATCTGGGGAGGAAGGGTAGGATAAGAAACTGTTCACCTTTTTGTGAGTTATGATACAAAGTGGCACATTTAGTAACAGTAACTGAAATAGCTTGAATGTTTCTCTGTGTAACACTGGTGGAGGTGTGCAGTTCTGAGCACACTCTGTAGCAGCTCCATGACTTGTGCTTCACTTCAAAAATCAGCACAGGGTGCAGCAGCCCCGTGCATTTATATGTGCTCTATGTTGAGCACTATGCTGTCATTTTTGTTTCAGTGAATGCAAAGCTTGAACATAGTGTGACAGAAGGTGGAGTTTCCTAGACCTCACTGGTACCTGATTCCAGGTGATTTTCAAGAGAGCTCATATCCGCCTGTATCAAGAGTTAACTTTTTACTATGCAAGAATTGAAAGCTTTTTCCTTAAAGTGTATGAAGAGGCATCTTGGAACATCTCTCCATAGCTTCCTGGTGCATGTTGCAGAAGAGGGTGCATATCCTGGACCAACTTAGTTCCAGCAAAAATCCTCCTTGAAGTGGAATGTTCTGCTCCTTGATACTTTTCCCCATCTAGTAATATTTCCTGGCTTTTTTCCTAGTAGTCCCAGTTGCCCTGGGAACACATATGTTAGCTTAGGGACTTCTGCAACCACGATGAGATGTTGAGATGGGTTAAACCCCAAAAACCACTAAATATAGTGCCTATAGGAATAAGATGTGTAACTTCCAGCCAGTTAATAATCCAGTTATTTGTTTTACAAGGTTTACAAGGATGAAAAGACTGTAGTAATCAAGGATAAATATCCCAAAGCACGTTACCACTGGCTTATCTTACCATGGGACCCCATTTCAAGCCTGAAGTCAGTCACGAGGGACCATCTTGAACTCCTGGAACATATGCATGCAGTTGGGCAAAAAATGATCAAACAGTGCCCGGACAGAGGGAGTCTGGAGTTCAGACTGGGTTACCATGCTATCCCCAGTATGAGGTAAGACCTAGACAAGTCTTCAGGTGGAGACCTTGTTCTTGTAGTTATACAGATTTGGGGCTAAATTTGTAATGTGATCTGGCGTTGCTAAAGAACTAATTCTCCTAAACAGTACAATCTGTTTGGCATCCAAGTCCTTTAGGTGCAGCTGTGCACAAATATGCTGATGGGCTATGCAGTTGTCTTGGGTCTGGTGGGATCTGCCTGTTGGGTTCCCCTAGCAGACATCTGTAGCTGTGGATGGAGGGAGCCATGATCCCACCCCAGTGACAGAGGCAGTGCTGCCAGGCCCACGTTCTAGGGCATCCCTCTTCCTGAGGTGGGTATTCCTGATCTAGGATCAGAGGGTAACTCTTACGCCTATCAAGTCCTGCCCGATTCTGAGCAAGAATTTGAGTCTTGTGTGTAAGCAAGTCCAGATCTTAACTGGCAATGCCTTGACAGTATTGCAGTTGGTGTTCCCAAGTTGTTTTCCTGTTCTTCAGTAAAGCTTTGTGTCACTGATCAAATCCCATCCAGGTACTTCACAAGTTTAAACCTTTGGTTTAATTAAAACCACTGCCTCTGCCTTTTTTGGAAATGAGCTGGAGTGTAGACTGTAGTTAGGGACCAATGGAAGATGCAGACTAGTGACTGTGACTGCTTACATGAGACACTTGGCATGAGACTGTGTTTCTAGAATACACCAGGTTTCTTCTGACACAGGACTATGTGTCAAACATGGTAAGATTGACCCATAAGGCTGGCATGCCAACTTCTGAATCAGGTTTGCAACTGATACTACTGCAAAATGGATGTGAGGGTGATCTGGCTGCGACATCTGTCACCATTGATCGCCAGGGTTGATTTGGCTGATCTGGCTGGCTAGGCGGGTGTCCCCTTCCTCCCTCACCGCTCCATGTGCGTCCCTCCCGAAGCTGCGCGCTCGGTCGAAGAGGACGACCTTCCCCGATAGAGACGTACCGTTCATCGGTCAAGGGTATACGGTAGCTGCGCTCCCCTGCTAGAACCTCCAAAAGAACTTCAAGCAAGAACTTCTTTTATCTGCATGTTTTGTTTCAGTCAGCTACATTTGCATGTCATCAGCCAGGATTTTGATTCTCCGGCCCTGAAAACCAAGAAGCACTGGAACTCATTTACTACAGACTACTTCTTAAACTCTCAAGGTATGTATTTCATAACATATAATCCTACTTATGGGTTCTACCTTTAGGCTTTTTTTTCCAAACAAATGTGTAAGCCACAAATTCTGTTGTAGTAAGTTAAAGGTTTTGTGGAATTGTGAGTCAGGAATTGTGGAATAGCACTAAGTAAAAGTTAACTGAATGTTATGAGTGGGTTAAATGAGAATGCAGTGATGATAGGCTCTGCATGCAAAGCAGTGTGCAGAGTTCTGGCAGTGTCATGTGTAAGATGATGTTACACAGTCCCAATACCTCTGGTCTCTTTATTTTCAGATGTGATAGAGATGGTAAGAAGCAAGGGAAAAGTGATGGTGAAAGATCACATCTCTGAACTTCTGAAGCAGCCCCTCAGATGCCATTGTTGCAAACAACAGCTATCCACTATCCCACAGTTAAAAGAACATCTCAGGAAACACTGGACAAAATGATTTTGCAAAATACATTGGACAGAATGATTTTGCAAAATACCATCTTACAATCTGTCTTCAGACTTCAGGCTAAAGCAAAGAACTCACAATGTTAATTTTTGTTAAAAGGAGTGACAATTGCAATATGGGAAAAAGTGGCCTGGAAACAGCAGCATACTACCCTTGTAATGACTTAAGAGAAAAAAACCCTTCAAAACTATAAAGTGACTTCTGAAATTGAAGGTGTGTTTGTAGTTTTTTTGTAGCTACAACATCCCCACCCTGCTGTGCCACAGCATGGCTTGAAGATGTCAGTGCTGCTGAACTTCGCAGCTGTGGAGCAGGCACTGCCCCTTGACAGTGTAAGTCATGGCTCAGGCTGTAAGAGGGACTCTAAGATAGCCTCTCCCATGTACAAGGATGGATTTAATAATGTGCATATAAAAATCCATGTATAATGTGCAATGACCAGCTTTGTTGCTCCTGAGAGTAATAAACTATCAAGGTTTGCAGTTGCTTGCCTGCATATTAGCAGGTGGTAGAGAAATCGCGTGGTTTAATGCTGCCCTGTTTCTCCACATGGGGATTTTGCTGAGCCTCTTTCATCTAATCGTCATCAAGACGTGCACTCCCAGATAGGGCAGCAGTAATAGAAACCTGTTCCTGGGTCCAGAACTGGTTTCTAGGATTCAATTTCACTACAAGCCTGGCTTCAACTTGTTAAGTAAGAGGTCTTCTGGGTGGAATGGCTTTCAAGTAAAAGAGCACACAGAGCTTTTGGTATGTGGGGAAGATGCTGTTTGTAATTCTTGGTAACACACTCTGTGAGGAGTGTGTGTCCTCTTCCACACCGTGCAGCAGCGTGTTACCACACAGCTGCTGCAGGAAAAGAGTAAAGACATTCCTGTAATGGAGCATGGGACAGTAAGGGTAATGGGTTGGCCGTGGCCTGTTTTATCCTACTTCGTGGGTTTTGAGGGAGGTGAATCTTTTTTATATCCCAAAGGTGCATGTGTGCCATCTCAGCAGCAGTGCTCTGTGAGAAGAGTAAACCACAACAAATGCTTTATTAAGAGCTCAGTACTTAGATGCTAACAGGGGGCAACGTGAAGTTACTGACTCACAATGACTACTCCTGTAACTGGTGAATGGATCAAACTAAGATTTAGTAATTCATAAAAGAAAAGGAGAAGAAAGGAAGGAAAGACAGACGAGAAGATAGGACATGTATCAGCACCCTTAGTTCCAGGGAGGTCTTTTGCAAAGTGTTCTCTGGCTCTGCCAGCCTCAAGCCTCAGGTCCTGGTGTGTGGGCGATGGGTCGACAGGCTTGTGGCGCCTTCACCGCTCTTAGAATGTCCTGTTCCCCAGAGCAGCCCTTGGGGCTGCAACATACAGTTGAGCTTCTGCACTTCCAGAGAGTTCTGGAATGGGGCTGGGGTGTGGCTTCTTCCAAGGTGAGCCCTGGTGGTCAGCACATATGCAGAGCAGCTGCTGGAAATCAACTAGGGGAGGCAAGCCAGAGAGGAGCAGGGGAAGCCTGCCATCCTGCCTGCACTGTTCATGCTTGCCTACCACAGGACTCAGTGCTGAGTTGTTTGAGACACAAGGAATGTTCCACAAACCCTTGCAGGTCAGTCTCTGACATGGCCTAATTTCTGACACTGGTCACACTTTAGTTTTTGCTGACATTAGTACTATGCCTTAATTTAGATGACAAAACTAAAAAAAGATAAACCATCACAAAAGCCAGTCTAGGGATTCACTGTTGACACAGTCCAACTACAGCTTCACTTGGTCCCAGGGCTGACGCAGTGCTAATGCTTAGCAATAGGAACAATTCTGGACCAAGAACAGTTGCAAATGTTGAACTGTGGCCTCCCTCACATGGCAAACACAGGCCAGAAAGGAAAGCCACACTGCTTCACAGGTAAATGCACTGCTTACACCCCACAGCCCAGGGGTGGGTGTCATGTTTTTTAGTGCCTCTCAGGGCAGGTTTAAGTGAAGAACAAACACCTGAAATGTCTATATACACATCGTGTGCAGCTGTCTAAATGACAGTTGCCACACACTGACATGCAGAGCACTCTTGAGAGCACATGCAAGGCACACCTTCTAAGGAGCAAGCCTATGTATGATGTCATAAGTCAGTGACTTCAGTAAATCTACTGCCACCAGGGCTCCAGGCATACACTTGCTGCTGGTCCTGACCCCAGGCGGAGCAGTGGCAGGGCAATGCCACCAAGAAGCATGCCCAGCTGTATGAAGTCACAGCCGTGACTTCCAGCAGCAGCAGACACAAGCTGTTTTAAGCCCCTAAGGGACAGCCACAGGACCAAGGATAGCCTCAAGAATATAAAGAAAATGAAAGCAGTAGTCATAGACATTGGCACAGGTACCTTCAAATGTGGCTTTGCAGGGGAGACACAGCCTTCCTACATTGTTTCACCTACAGCTAGTACGCCCATGCAGGACACTGAAAGTCATCAAGAAACCTTTGTTGGACAAGAGCTTCAGAATACCAGCACAGACTTAACACTTACCAACCCAGTAAGACGTGGCATAGTGGTGGACTGGAATTGTGTCCAAGATACTTTGGAGTTTATTTTCCAGACAGAGATGAGGATTCAGACAGATGACCATGCTGTTCTGGTGTCAGTGCCTCCCCTGCGTTCCATCACTGACAAGGAGAAATATGCTGAGGTGATCTTTGAAAGATTCCATGTTCCTGCCATCCACCTTGCTTATCAGCCCCATTTATCCATGTATTCTTATGGAAAAACCTCAGCTCTTGTGGTAGAAAGTGGCCATGGTGTTTCACATGTGGTTCCCATCGATGAAGGTTACATTAGTTACAGCGTCATTAGGAGGGCAGATTATGCTGGCTTGGACATCACACGTTGTCTCATGGAGTCACTAAATGAGTCTGGAAACATGTTCACAGAGCATGAGCTAAACATCATACAAGATCTCAAAGAGAAATGTTGTTACACTTCTCTGGACCTTGAACAGGACTTGAGTTTGCCACTTGAGAAACAACAAATGGATTATGAGCTGCCAGATGGACGCCTTCTCACTGTAGGCAAGGAGAGATTTCTTTGTGCTGAAACGCTCTTCAGACCCACCTTATTTGGCTCAGAGCAGCCAGGGCTTTTGGAGCTGATAGTCAGCAGTCTCAAAAAATGTGATGCCTACCTCAACAAAAAAATGATGGCGAATATCCTGCTGTGTGGGGGCAGCACCATGATGAAAGGCTTTGCTGATCGCTTCCAGATGGAACTGGCTAGGTTGTTCCCCAGTGACAACATCACCACAACTGTGTCCCCTCAGAGGAAGTCTTCTGTCTGGATTGGTGGATCTATTCTGGCCTCACTCAACTCTTCCCAGGATCTCTGGGTTAACAGGAGTGAATACGAAGAACATGGTCCTTCCTGCATTTTTAAAAAGTGCTTCTGAGGAAGACACTGCGTATCACACAAAGACCAATTTGACAAAATATACGTGTCAATTCAAGAGCAGCTCCCACCCTTAGCTGCAGGAAGCTGTATTTGATACTGCTTTTCTGATATTGCATGCCTGAAATAGCTTTTTTATTTTGTATTTTATGAAGCTAAACAGCAGAGAGATGACAAACCTCTACTCTCGTGAATTAGGCTTCTGCCTGGCCATATCTTCTCAGAAATACAGTTATTTTTAAAGTCCCACGTTTCTGCATTAGTGGCTTACTTCAGTTCCTGTTAACTGCATCTGCTTGTAAAAGCCTCCACAGAACTCACTAGAACAAATTCAACATGTCTGTAAAGACAGCAGCTAAGGCAGAATGTATTTCAAGATGACATGCATCACTAGGAAAGCAAAAAAGTATCCTAGCAGAAATCCAGTGAAAGCAGACTCCTGGCTGCTGCTGGAAAGAAGCTGAGGTTCAGCAACTGCAGAATAGGGAAGCAGGAAGCCAGACATCCCCAATGGCAGCTCAGGGCACAAGGTGTTGTTTCCAGGTCTACTGCTCCTTAGTCAAAGTTCACACAGGAGGGAGAAGTTTACCTAGATGGCAAATTTAAAATTATTTTGCCTTGATGGGAGAACACAGCTAAGATCAGAGAGTCTTCAGCTTTGGCCATCACCATGATGGAAAGAAACCCTATGTTAAAGGAACTGCTGTGTTTAAGCACAAGTGTGTACCCTTAGTGAGGTGGCAGTAGTTTAACCTCTTCTTGGGTTCTCTGAAGAGGGAACCTCTATACAATAGATTAGGCTGCACAAGAGCTCAGCATTGCCTACCATCAGATTTAGGAATGTCAGGAATTAGGAGTGTCAGTGTTGCATTACCACTGCAGAGCCAGAGCAATTCAATTGCAGAGCATGCCCTGGAGATGATCCCAGATTCCCTCATGACTATTTTCTCCAGATCTGGAAAGTGGCTGCTGTATTTCATCTTGGACTATGTTCTGCTACTATGTTGAAGACCTAGATCTAGTAAAACATTACAGCCATGTGCAGCCTTTCATGTGTTTTGCCATGTCAAGGCTTTACTCTTGGAGAATCTCCTTCCAGTGTGGCCACAGTTCTTGACAAAAGGCTTAAGCCATCCCCACACCACCCAGAACAGGCCACATAATTCAGAACAGCTGGAATAAGACCACTCCAATGCTTCGTGCAACACCAACAAGGGTTTGTTTTACCACTCCACTCCAACAACCCCAAGGCATCCCAGTACATACAGAGCAAGCCTCCATGGCCATCCCAGCATGATGGGAGTTCTGGCTTCACAAGAACAATGATCTGCAGCACTAGACATGTACTAATGCCGTGCAGTAGGAACACAGCCCATTGCTGTGTCAAGATATCTCCAACAGACAGGAGTGCCTTGTTTGTGAGGGCATTTCTACACAGTATGTACTAACTGGAATGGCTTCCACTGAACACAGCAGCTGCCAGGCCAAACTGAGGGAGTGGTGGGCTGCTACTGCTGACAGGGTTTTCAGCCTCACTTGCAGAGCTTGTTCCCCTCCTCTGCTCCCAGGACTGCTGCTCTTACTTCTCCAGTCAGATCACTGAAGTATTCTGTGGAAAACCTAATTCTCAGATAGCAGGTTAGATCAGTTTCCAGCTGAAACAGTTCTGCATGATCAGGGTACAGCTGCTGATCTGCCAGTGCCATAGAGTAGCATGTACAGATAGCTGATCTTTAAACTCAGGGTAGTACATAACCCAGCAGTGTATGACACAACACCCACCCTCTGCTGCCCACCTGCTTTTATTCATGTTTTCCTCTACCCAAAATCTCCCTAGTGGGAACAGGCACACACTCAGGACAGTAATGGCTGCTGGTACTGCAGACTTCATTCTGATGGAACCAAAGCTATTCTGATGAAAAATCTGGTGTTACAAAGATGCAGCTTCAACAAAGAGAACACAACTCATTTCTTTAGCAACTATGATATGCTGTTGGTACAGACTTACTGGTGAGATCTCTAAAACAGGTTGAAAAGCTTAAAATGTGACCTGTCATCATAGGAGGGATGTGAACGTATCATCCATGGGAGGAAGTAACGGCAGAGGAAACAGCTCATGCAGCACTGTTGGGGTTGCAGCATCAAGAAGGGAGGGAAGAGGCAGGAGATGTGGGATTCAGCCAGTGATGTTCAGAGCTGCACACTGTGTTACTCCCCAGCCTCATAAACCTTCTCTGCAGTGGGACCTGAGTGGCTGTCCCCAGTAGCATGACACCATACAGGTCACAGTCACAGCTGCATCAGGTGGAGGGACCCTTCACTTGCATACCCCTGAGAACACTGAACCAGAAATGCCAGGACAACAATGGTTTCTGTAAAGATGTAATAAAGTTACATGAAAAGTTACAGTTTGGAGTCCACTGGGGTTCCTTGGCTTTTAGTTATTGGAGAAGATGCAGTTTCCACTGTAGATTTTTATTGAGTTTTGGTGGAATAACTAATTCTGGATCTGAAAGGCAAAGAGACAAGTGTTAGAACAAAGGGTAACAGCAATACAGTTTCTTCAGCTGTTAGCTACTTCGTTTGCTTTTCTTTGTATCAAAGGACACTGAGAAGTCTCTGTCACATAGCATTTCCCTGTAGTGACTGATCACCACCCTGCACAAGAGTGTACCCATCAGAAGTGGGGTAGATCAAGTCCCCTCTAAGTGCTACCATTCAGAATGAGGAGGCAACAATGGCAGAAAGCAAAATTCTGCTCATTCACCAATAGCTGGGATATCACACACAATAGCCAGCTGACTCTGGCAAGTGTGAATAAGAGGCACAAGGTTTCCTCTGAAGCCAGCTGTGGCTGGAGTGGCAACAGGCAGATCACATCTAAAGGCTTTTTAGAGGTTTTCTCCAGGCAACTGTAGCACTAGCAGGGGAAGGGACAGCAGGACTAGTGGGGAAGAGGGAAAACAGAGGGGAGATGGAATCAGCCCTTGCTAAGTCTCTCAGTCCTAAGTTTGTACCAGCTGAAAGGACTTCAGGCATCATGACAGACTGTAACCTGGCCTGGCTGCCAAAGCCAGATAAAAAAATTCAGTGGGCAAGTTACAAGTAGAACCAATGTATTCCCTAAGAAATCAGCACAGGACTTCAGAATAAGTAAAACCTTATTAAGAAGGCTGATCACTCCCCAGAAGATGCAAGGATACACTATAAAGAAAAGCAACAAACTCCTACAACTGAAGAAATGCCACAACTGTTGGCAGGTAGCAATGCTCAAAGATCCTGAAAGCCCACTGACCTCACTGGAATTTCACACCCACACCTCACTCAAGAGCCTCAACGAACCTTGTACAACAGGAGTCATCATCCTCTTCTGTTGATAGGCAGCCATAATGCTGTTAGCAGTTGAATTGGGTCCCAGGACCTGTATGAAGAAGCAATACTCACGTTCCAACCTGCACAAAGCAAGGCTAAGAGCAGGGATACCTACACAGAAAACTCTGCTGTTAGTCTCCAAAAGCAAAAGCAGGAGCAGAAAAAAGTGACTTGGGATATGGAATCAAAGCCCAGATATGTCTCAGAAAACTTAACAAAGAGACAGAAATAAGTATTTTGGACAGCTTCTCAGGACACACAACCCTTATCCCAGCACCTACTCCTTTACAGCACTGCAAATGTCATGACTTGGCAGGACTACTTTCATTTATACTGCCAGCAATATTTAAAGTTCATTTGAAAGTTTCAGCTTCTTATCACATGGGACAATTTTAATCTGTCCCTAGAGTCTTGCTAATCAGTACTTAGGGAGAAGATACTAGGGAATATCTTGTGTTCACCACAAACACTCAAAAACTACCTATGAGAAATAAAGGCTTTGGGAGGGAACAAAACACAGTCCTCAAGATTTCCACATACTGTGTTAAGCTGAAGCTTAGAAGCCTGACATAACCCTTCTTTTTGCATTGTACTCCATAGGATATACTGGTTTGGACTAAACTGACCAGTCTGGTAGTTTTTCACTTCACAACACCATAAAAGCTATGCTAACTGTTCAACCATCAGAATGAGGTAACACAAGCCTCACGAGACCTCATCATGTCTAGCATGGCATTCAGTGCAAGGGATATGTCAGGCTATGCCTGTTGTACACATCTAGAGTGTTCTGACTTGCTGGTACTGCACAGAATATCTTTGGCCTCTACAGAAAAAAAGCAGATGTGGAAAGCCAGGGAAGGACTCCAGACGCCTTGCTGGAGAATGCAAAATACTGCTGAATACTTGGTATGGTATAGCAGGCATGACAGGGATTGCAGATGAACACAGACCGGGTTGACAGAACTCTGCTGCAGGTCTAGAGTCCAGATTTCTGGGATTGAGGTCTCCATCAACTGCAAAACCTCTTCTAGGACTTGCTGCAGTGCCCCAGCTGGCTCATCATATCCAAACAGCACAAGCTGCTTCAGAAGAATGTGTATGTCTCCTGCAGGAGGAAAGAAAAGCACACAGCAATAGCAATCAACATGGGTATGCTAAATAAACACCTGTATTTCTCTGGTATCACGGCACAGGAAGGTGAGCAGTGAATCAGAACTGGTTCAGTCCCTACTCAGCTCCTACGGTTCCTGAGTATAAACATGAGACAAATCTGTCACAGCACTGGCAAGACCTCATTTCTCTTGCTCTCAAACTTCAAATGTGGAGAGCTCACACTATTAGATGTTCTTCCAGGCACAGAGGCAGACGAACTGAATCAAGGTGATGCGCCAGGCAGCTCCTCTCTCCACCATACCAATTAAGAAAAAGAGAGGGCATATTGCCTCAGCTGTCCTCACAAGCTGCAGAGTGGATCAAGTGTCCTACCCTTCACAGTCTCAACAGCACGAATATTTTCTCCCAGGGCTTCCAGAAGGGCTATATCTTCAAAAGGACTCCCCTCCTTCAAGCTGTACCTCTTGCGCTCTGCCTTGCGCCGGTTCTTTGAAGACCGCCTGAAAACGAGGATGC